AACTTATGCATCACCTCCTAGGTGGGCAATTGTACATAGCGTTTAAAGACGAGTTGGCAAGAGGCCCCCCTATTTAAGGAAACCAGCGCTTCAAGAGAAGAACATGGGGGATTTGTCCTCATCCTAATTCTTGCGCCACCTGCAACAGCTTGTAAGGGACAGCAAGGTGGGAGAATCCGTTCTAAAACTATGTACGACGAAAGCCATCATGGCGTATGTGTGTGAGGCACTGGTGACTCAAGGCCTTGACCTTTCTCTTGAACAGTTAACATGCATCATCACAAAGAACAGTGAAGAGGAGACGACCTACAGAAGGTCAGTTGAGCCATGCTAGTATCAGCAAAGGACCAATAATCTTGGAACTTGTGACCAACACTGGATCACTAATAAGGAATCCAGAAAAAGAGGTGTATCGTTCGGCAAAGCATCTTCTAGGTCAAAAGTTAAAACCAGACCAACTTTGCTGGTAATGCGCACATTCAACAAAATGCACTCGACCATTTGCCTGCCCGAACTGCACCATAAGCAGCAAGGAAACGGTTAACCCCTTCTCAGGTAATGACTGCCAAGGAAAGGTGAGCGAACAGTCATCAGGAACAGAAGCTATGGACCTCTCTGTTGGTACAATAGCTGCATTTCGTATCACACAAAAAACGAAGATGGCACCGGGACGACAAGTCTCCTGTCATGCGGCAGGCGGCCAGTAAGGTGCATATCCCAACGTTCGGGTATAAAGCTCTCAAGTCTGACCTCGGCTCTACGCTATGGTTTTCATGGATTTTAACCACCACTGATCTAGATCTATTAATTACCGGCACAGACTTCCTGAAAAGGTACAGCTTGTTAGCGGCTACTTGAATGAGACGTCCGACAATCAAAGAAACCTCCTGGCTGACGAATGGCAAAGCGAGTGGGCACCGTTGGTTGAATCTAACCCAATCTTCAAGAATATAAGCTATAAGGTCCCGGAATACAATAATGGAATTCCCAACATTAATGGCGACCAACCATTAAACTACTAAGGCCGGCCCGAAAATTCCTCATACTTTAGGGACACATGGTCCACTAGTTTATGCCAAACCACGAAGATTGGCCCCGGAAAGGCTAGAAGTGGCGAAATCTGAATTTGGATGTGTACTTCAGCAGAGAATCATTCGGCACCCTGTGGTCAGTGGAATTCACCACTTCACAGTATGTCAAAGAAAAAGCAGACCGATTTCCGCCATCGTGGTGATTACAGGGCCCAAATAAGTAAATCTTTCCAGATAGACGCCCAGTACCATACACTCAAAGCCTTGCTAGTGGCCTCCTAGTTGCCACAATAGATACTAGAGTAGACTTAGTTTGAGCCCATCACGATATTCCGTTGACTAGGAAAGACAAAGTAAAAAAAGTACTTAGTAATATCTTAAGCATGCCATACGAAAAGTGGTCATGAAAACTTAGCAATAATCATCCCAGCCAACCGACTATTTTCCTCAAGTTCATTCAACCTACCTTTATTCCTAATCGTACCACTATTCATAACACTCTTCTCATTAGATTATGACTCAGTTTGCTCCAGTACTCAAAACTCTTATACCTTTACCTTTCAAGACGTTTTGACTACTACCTATGCAGCAACCGTTTAACCAAATCACTGATTTTCTCTTCCCTGTAATCAATAAGTTGGGTCAGTGTAGTTATTTCCAGAAACACTTGTATTAGCAACCATATCTTTTAATATTTTACATATATACTTATTTCATTAGTATAATACACTGTACTATTTTTGTGTTTAAATGACTATCTTCAGTCAACAATTACCCATTTTCATATAATTTTCTAAAATTCGTAATGTTTAAGCTATGTAGTATTTTTCTATTATGTAAGTTAATGAATTGAGTCCATGCCTGTACAACTGGTGTGTCCTACATAGATCGGAATAAATATATTATATTATTAATGTATAACGCACACCATATAAAAATCGGTCACGAGAATTTATCATAACAAGTTCTGCTAACCAGTTGTTTTTCTCAGAACCACTCCACATAACTTTACCACTAATTGTTCTACTACTCATATCACTCTGCTAAATCGAATATAACTTAGTTGCTGTAATACTAACTATTTATATAATTCATTACTCTTAAGGGAGACTTAATTCCGTAGACTTTTGTGGCAACCCACTTGTTCATATGTATGATGATAATACTGCTAAGAATGTCCTCAGGTTTTGTTGTGCCCTGTGACCTAATGGGAAGCACTTGTTATGAAAGCTGTTAATGTGCAGCACATTGTTTGATTGGGACGGGCTGAAAGCAACGCAGTGCTGCAACTACAGTGATTATCAAAAAATCTCAGTGGCGCATGCTGGTCAGCAGATTTGGTAGTGATCACAAATGTGAATCGCTCAGATCTGTAGGATAGCAACATGAATTTTCTGACAGCTCGAGAATTAAACATGAGTTTAGATCCTCAACATAATAAGTAAAGTTTAATTAACTTCAAAAAACAAAACAATAATGACTATACTGAACTAAATTATACAAATAAATCATAAAAAGGTGGATTTCTTCCTAACATCTACAAACCTGCTCAGCTTCTTGTCAAGATGGCTACCCATGGGCCATACACAAATTCGCCAGACATCTCACAGGTCAGTATACCCTACAGGTTCTAATCTTTTAAGCCACCTCTCTCTGAAATGTCACTTATATACTTCATAACAATCCTTTTGTCTAATTAATATTATACTCTAATTTATCTCAACTCTCTAGGCCTTTAATAAGGCTGAAATTTGCTCTTTTCATTCACACTCTTCGCTTGCACAGAGTTCGGTTGCTCTGATGAACAACTATATTTTCATCGAAAAGGTCATAGTTTTCCATGGTAAGACCAAAATGGTTAGCGTCATACACTGGAAATGTGGACTGTCATTTCAAGTACTCTATAGCTTCTTCCTGTATTTATCCTGTAAATATACTTCCAATAATGTATTATTCATAATCGCATTTTATACCACTTTGCAGCTGCGCAGGATTTTCTTCTCTTCCTGAAATAGCGTTCAATCATGTGGGGGCATAGCACTCAATCGAATATATGTTGTTTAACGACTGGCCATAACTATCATCAGGAAATGGAACGAAGTTTGGGTTGTCGCCCAGCTTCGATGCTGACCTGAGTGAAGAGTTTACAGCTTAAGATTTTTAAGAATCTGTTCTGATTGCTTGTACTATAATTCAACAATTTCAACTTTCGAAAAAGTCATAATCTATGCTAATTCATAATCGTAATTTGTGACATAACTGATCGTGCCCGTAAAAATGGCATGCACTTCATGTAAGCTTAGCTGTTTATGAGAAATATGTATTATTATTACATACCTAAAGCGGCCATTATCACTCCATTCCGTTCACATGAGTTAGTGTGGATGCCAACTGGTCTCCGGAATGCTGTACAAACTTTCCAAAGACTTGCGGATGACTTGCTGCCTGAAATGCCGACCGCCAAAGCGTACATAGATGACCTACTCATCGCCAGCCCGGATAACAGAGCATATGAAGATAATATTCGGATGGAATTACGAAAACTAGAAGACAATGGCATGGTAATAAACCAAAGCGCGCTTTTGGAGCAGAAACAACAGAGTTCCTTGAAGGTTTCATAAACTGCAATGGCATCGCACCAAAACAAATAGGGGTGGGCACCATTAAGCGGTATCCCCAAAATACTTCCGCAACGCAACTCCAAGGTTTTCCGAGGTTCATTAACTTCTATCGATGTTTTATTCTTAGGTGAGCAAAACATATGTTGCTCCGGACTGAAGCATTGAGGGAGAGGAGAAACAAAAGACTTTCAGTTGTCAAAGGAGGCATATGGCACAATTACAGATTTAAAACATGCCCTGGCGAAATTCACAACCCTGGAGTATCCTGATCCAGATTCGCCCCTTGCATTTATGTTAGATGCACCCAATAAAGCTGTGGAATCAGCTTCAAGTCAGCTGATTGTCAATAGCTGGTAACCGACAGCATTCTCTCCTGGGCAACTTAGTCCAGCAGAAACTAGGCGTTCTCTTTCGGCAGAGTCGCTGACAATCTACCTAGCTGTTAAAAACATTCGCACATGATAGAGGCCAAACCATTCAGAATCTACATTGATTGCAAGCCTCTCACTTCCGTGCTCACTGCGGAAACAGTCCTCTTAACTGACTATAACTTAGTCCTTTGGTTTGCGTTGTTTTATCACTACTAACACGTTAGGAAGAGTACCGAATTATTGGGTAAATAAGACAATTACACTAAGTAGGGCCTGATCAGGTGTGGCTTATCAACAGCACTGCTTGTAACTTACGGCTCCAAGGCTGGACTAGTGTACTGAGATGAAAAGTTGCATGCACTCTTGGCGGAAGCACTTTCTTTTCGAAGGGCTTTGCTGCATTAAATCCCTGCTTCACCATTCTAATCCGGTTTTTATCTTCCGTCTTCATCTCTTTCCCTATCAGTCTTCCTTTTTTATACTTTATTTCAACTTTCTTTAGTTGTGTTCAAAGCCCCAGTGTCTTCCCACAGTACTATCGCCTTACCTGTCTTTGTTTTGGCAATCCATTCTCTCAGTTTACTTTTCAACCACGTAATACCAGTTTCTTTATAATGTATGATGACCTTACAGGACGGTTATTCGATGGTAGGGAATTTGTAAGTCTCAGCAACACTTATGTTCTGACACAAACTATACATTCCTTCCAAAATAAATTAATTTAAATCTTCTTACTAAGCTAGATCGAGCTGCACTGGCAGGTGTGAAAGATTAACTGGAATTCTCCTAAAACAGCTCCTTAAAAGGGTATTCCATGTAGTACCGTTCTGAAATGACAAGAAGAAGGTGTTCAGATTTGAAAATACCAGAAATTATACCTGTTAAAAGTTAGAAAAGATTATGGTTCTACGAAAATTAGAAATATAGCAAACTTTTGTGTAGTATTGTTTTTTCACATAATTGAACAATGAATCAGCATATATTGGAAGTTGAATATCTTTAAACGACTCAGATTTCATAACTTAGATTACTGCACTTTAACAAACTCAAGGCCATGAGGTTTGCAGTTTCTTTCGCTAGAGGTATGTTAAGGTACTATATGATTTTTATTTACTAGGGCTCAGAAGTGCATTGAGTAAAAGGGCGACCACAGGCTGTTTTGTTGCTGGGGGAAGTCTTCTTGCAACTTATGCTGTCTATTCGCATTATGAATTTCCAACGCAGAAACCGTTGTTCACAGCATTATGTTCCACTAAGATGGCTCCCCAAGGATCGGTATGATGTAGGAATTTTAATATTGCGATTTTATTCAGGTTGTTAGTGAGACAAAAGCACATGCTCTATATCTAACAATTCACTTGGATCCACGAGCATCAGCACATGACTGTTTGAAATCCATTGGACAAATCAAGGTAATGATTGTAAATCTAGTGTTTCCATTTCTCTTTTTTTGCGAAATACGGAAATGATGTGGTATATGTATATTATACACCGTATACGGTGTAGAAACGCTCCCAACCGCGCTTTAAATTCCTTTTTCTTGATACTTTCAGCTATTGATCATCACTTTAAAACTCTGGCAGAACTGAAAGTATATGCTAGGACCGACACCTCTGCCTGAAAATTTCGTAAGGTCCTCATTGACATTACTAGCCCTCGTCTCAGTATTATATTTGATAATATATGTAGTATCAAATGTAATTTAACCACAGTCGAATGACGGCTTGTTCATCATTTCCCTACCATATTTTAAGCATTTAATACTGGCATACAAAGTTAAGTGGATGGTGTCTTTAAAAGTTGTGCTGTCAGATAGGTAACTTGGCTTTTGGACATTCCCTTGTTATGCATTAATCAAGTAATAACCTTCTTTTGTTATTATGCTCTTTTAAATATTGATTTTAACTTCTTAAAACTATAGACCCTTCAATCTATGTGTGTAACATGCTGCTTTAAAGTCACAGTAACTTACAACCATTATTTTCTGAAAAGCTAATCATTACAATTCAACGAAAACAAAGTTGTGTTATTTTAAGTGTTATGTCTCGTCCAGTTCCTTTCCTAATCTTACACTCTCTGACAATATCATCAGGCCAAGGGAGAAACACTCCAGCCACATTTACAATACGCCAATAAAAACAGCAGATATGAAGTTTGATAATCACACAAAGTTATACGTACTTGTTGTTAATAGGTTCTAGTTTAAAATGACAATTAAGTATGTTACAAGCTATTCAGCTTAGATGTAGAGTCTATCGGATGGAGATGTACATTAACTCTATTATCCTTGATTCATCGTGTTAAGCACTCTGTTCTAGGTCTGTGGGTTCGATTTCTGTTCTATCTGTCGATGTCTGTACAATTAGCTAACCACAGAATGTGTGTGTGTGTAGTTAGATGCCTGTAAATACGAGTGGTTATTGAGCGATGAACAATAGACTGGCTTTGATTTTCAGCTGACGAAGTGTTTTGTTGCAGTTGATCGCTACGGTTTTATGGAGAAAATTTATGATACGACAGTACAGTGCGCAAGACATTGTATTTATTCTGCCAAAGTATTGCAAACTTCTATTTATTGGGTATTATGGTTTTGCGAAAATTATCTCCTTTTTACACAGATTCAAGGGGATAAATAATTACACTCTTATGTTTTGAGGTGTAATCACCATATTTTACATCAGGTTATAGGTGAAAATTTTCAACAGATGTATGACAGCATGAATAAAATTCACTCTACCGAAATGAAAGCGTCTTTCACACACACTTTCTTGCTTTCTTTATTGATTGCAGAAACATGTAGATGCAATCTGTCCACCTGATATGCGTAGCGAAGATGATGAAATTTTATATGGTGTTGGCTTTGGTGTTGAATTCCTTCAAAAAGTGTATCCTGAATTTAAATCTAAAGGAGTTAACAATTTTGAATATCGTGAAAGATCAGGGGTTTTAGGCGCATTACCTAAAACAGGTAAGTTTATTTTTCATCGTGCATAGATAAAAATGGGGGGGGTGTTTAATCAGTAATTTTTTTTGTAGGAGAGTAATTTTTTTCCCGTTAGCAGTTTTGAGTTGGTCGTTTTTTCTTCTTATCTTAAATGTGTGGTGGCAGTTGGTCAGAGCTCATTCTAATTCCGGCACCTGCTTTTCTTTGGAGTCTGGTATTCTCCAGATTCACATATGTTCAGAAATATGTTCAAATTGCACACATAGTTTAGAAAGGTTACTATTTTTCATGCAGTTTGTTGTCTTCTCTCTCCCCTCCCCCACATTAAAAATCAAGGTGACTATTCTAATCCATTTTTTTATTTACGAGTAAGCTTGCCAGCTTGTTGAGGGAGTTTTGAAGTCATTCGAAAGTGATTGTAGGAATCTCGGTGAGATCAGAATATGTCGTTGAAGCCCTACATTCTAAACCGAACGCTAGGAACGAAAAAAAAACAATAATAAGTCACAATTTGTAACATTTGTAGCCGTGATTAGTTTTGCTCAGGTTTCATGATAGCTGAGTAGTATACCTATTATTATGTACCTCTTAACGGTTAGACCTTCTGTTCACTGTTGTTAATGGAAGGCAATATTTCTTGATCTTCTACGGTGAATCGAAAGAGGTAGCGCTTGAACTAGCATCCAAAGTCTCTATTTTCTCATTACTGTTGCTAAGTATCGAGTGAAAGTTATTCTAACAGGAAAATATTTTCCAGTTCAATGACAAAATACACATTTGTAGTTCTGATTGCGTTGACTCAGTACTTGACTTCTTAAAAGCCACGCTCGCAGAAAACGGTTACCTGACAATACTTGACAATAGCACTAAAGATAAGCAGTCTAAACTGGTCACCGACTCAGTTCCAAAGAAAACCTTATTCATGAACTAGGAATTCAAAGGTGATCAAGCTTCAGATATGTTTAGAAATCGTCTCTCTAAATCAGTCAGTAAGACGTTCTTTGCAGCAAAATTACATATGACTTTCACTAGCCACAAGTTGTTCTCTACCTCGGTAAAAGATAAGCTCCCCCGTCTGGCCGCCTCCATGTGCATCTATCAGTTCACCTGCTCTTGTGGAGCAAGGTACATTGTTCGTAGCCAGAGGACGCCTTCCACATGGATACGAGAACATATTCCAGCAGCATGGTTTTACAAGGGAGAAAGGAAGTGTGTGCAAAGCTCTATTCTGGAACACCTGATCGACTTCTGTCACTCTGTCAACCCTGACCATGATTTTAAGATCATATATAGAATCCATGCTAACTTCCCGCGTTTTCTTCGTTACAGACTTCTAAAGACAGCTAAGGCCTTAGCAATTCATGACTTTAAGCCAGACCTTTGTGTACAAAAGAAGTATGTACAATCCCTACTTCTGCCTTGGCCGTAGAGGGATTGGTATTTATTTATTTTGTTTATTTAGTTATTCTATGTACTTTTCTCTTATTACTACGATTATTATTATTATTATTATTACTATTCTCACTCTGAATTGCTTCCACTTGTCATTCTAAATCCAAAATTATTAATTTTATATTTTAATTTTTACAATATTGAATTCTATCTTATCGAATTTCACACCATGTTATGTAAAATTTTATATTCGCCTACTGATCCTATAATTATGCACCCCTTTTCAACATCTATACATCCTGTCAATTATTCTATATTTGACATTAATTGTTTTGCCACTTGACATTTAACTATGATTATAATCACAAGCATTTTAATTGCATTTCATACTACTATTATTATTATTTTATGTATTCACTGCTTTGATCTAATTCCCTCACCGGATACAATTTCTTAAAAACCATACATATACGATTGTACGGCTTGATAATTAATTCTTTGTTGAAAAGAGTCTCTTCGCTGAATATTGTATTTTTAATGCTACAATGGGATTTATTTTCAGGTTTACCAAATATTTTTGTGTAATTTCATATTTCCGTTTACAATAGATTGACGTGTGTGTGTATGTGTGTAATTTAATGCACACAGAGTAATATGCTCTTAGTGTTTTACATTTATTTAAATTAGGCGGTGATATATTCATTCATGCAAAGTGTCATGAATATGGGAAATTGTTTGAATTAACTCAAGCTATCATCAATAATCTGCCATCTGGTTCTGTGGCTAAGTTTGAAGATATCTATGGATGGGTCTATCGTAATGGACGTGATTTAAGCGGTTTCATTGATGGTAAGTGAAGTAACTGTTTGTATTGTTATTATTATTATTTTAAATGAGAATATTTTGACACTTTTCTTATCATCTTCGTGTAGAAAAATGTTGAAAATCCGTATTTCACTTAGGTTGAGTGAGTAGTTAAATTTATTACGTTCTCCATTGAGATAATGTACACACGACCAGATCTAAGGAGGTGGTTGTCTTGAGTGGTCACTTCCATAGCCTTTGACTTGAATTCTAGTTCAGAAGGCAATGGGGCAGGGCCAGGAGCTATGTTCTCATGGTTCCCGGTGACCAAAGCAGGTCCAAACTCCATTCGATCTATATATCGGACTCTGGATTCCATGTATACCATTGCTTTGGAGTCAGGGTTTTCTACTTCCCCTACTGGGTAGACCAGCATATCCACCAGTCTGATTGTAAGCGTTAGGCGTTCGAATTCAACCTTCCTTCTTTTTTTGAGGAACACCCTTGCCGTGTAAAGACAGTGAGTAGGACTTACCTGGCAGAGGCTACGTATATGTGGTCACATGGGAAAGCATTTAGAGAGGAAGACCGAAGTCTACCCACTCTCGGCCGTACCAGGTCGTTTATTAGAGCTATATTCACTATGTAGCCCCACTAAAACTGCTATGTTAGAGTTTAGTGTTCCATACTGATTCGTCTGTTGACCTTCATGTGTAGATATCTTTTAGATTTAATGCATTAAGGCAGAAATTGTGATTTGTGGCTTAAGGTTAGGGTGAAGGTTAGGGTTAGAGAGAATGATTAAGACAGCCGGAGAGCACTGAACAGCTGTTTAATCCTAGTTTGGCATCCTTCAGCGTTGGTCACCCACGACCCTACTGCGAATCAAACCCGGGTTAAGACCTACATTAAGATTAATATAAAATCGCGTGTTCCAAACCTACAGCTGAAGTTCAATTCATTTCTTCAGTGTATAGTATTGTTTTAGACTAGATACGAGCACTAATCATATTATAGTTAACTCAATCTCCTTATCACACAAACTGATGAGATTTAAAGACATTCATGTATTGAAAGAAAACAGAAGCACGTATACAGCGATGAAGTTCAATATAAATATGTGACGGTGGTTCATCGGTGTAACGCTCACCAACCACAAATATGGTCCGGGGTTCGGTCCCCCGCCGACGCACTCCTAAACCTCGCTAAGCCGGTGGTAATAAGGCCGGTATAGAGGGAAGGTTGGGCGTGAGGCTAGCAACCTCACGCCGCAAAAATAAAACCACTGCTACCGAAACTTCAAAGCTCTAGCTCTAGCTAGCCCCGTGTTCCTCTCGGAACTAAAAGGAATAAAATAAAAATAATATATATATATATATATGAAGTGGTAGAGCATGCTGACCACTTCACTTATTTGGGAGGTTGCCTCAGTCATCACGGACTGCTTGCTGAAGAAATACGTACATACGTACTGCACACCAGCTCTCTCCGTCCTCCTTTATAACTGTAAGATATATTACCATTGAAAGTGGGGGACATGGAAAGGCTAACTGTCTTTGATAGTCTCCCGTGTGTAAGGCTGTACAATATGGTGAGTAATATCCAAGTTAGGTAGGTGTCGAATGTTAGGTTAACAGGGGAAGTTATTCGATTAGGTTGGTTGTGAAGCTACATCGATCGAGATGGCTAGGATGTGTATTACGCATGCCTTGCCATCGTCTTCCTCGACACGCAGTGTTAGCTGAAATAAAACCTGAACGTGGTAGTCAACAAGACTTCATATCAGTCCATAAGATTTTTGACAGTTAATTTGAACCATGCAGGGAGGTGTAGACTGCCTTGTTCAGGTCTTGGGGGATTCTAGGATTCAGTAGCTGAAACTATTGGTGATATAACTTGACATTGTTCTGAATTGCGCAGATGTATTCACACACTTTGTGTTCTGTTATATTCATTAAAGCCTCATGTTTCCCCATGTCACTATTCTTTCTCTCTCTCTCACATTTCTGCTTACTATCGTTCTTACGAGTCTCTTTCTTTATCCCTCTTTTGTCTTTCCGTGTTTACTACATGGAGTGTGGCAACTCGAACTACTCCCGGACTTCTGTGTAAAGTTCTATGCTGAAACCAGTCATATATATATGTTGGTTAGTAGTCCGAAATCCCCTTGAAGCTACAGTTCATACGTGCGATAGTAAAGAAACTATGGTTGTCCATTGTCAGTGTGCTGAATAAAGTTCCAGTCGAGTAAATTTTTTGCGAGGTTTTTTTCACTGCCTTAACAGTTACCACTAAAAGTTATTTTCTAAATTTAACGTTAATGTCAAGTTAGTCAGTGTGTTTCACGTGTGTACGTCACGAAAAGCATTTTCAAGTAGGCTACTATACAGACTTTTATCAACGGCTGTCCACTTCACTCTATACTGAAGATCAAATAGATGGCTGACCAGAAAGGATTAGCGACGAAGAACTCTGCCAGGCAACGAACAAATCAACAGTGTTATACGGTAATATTTTTGCTGATGACAACGTTTCGAGCACAATTCATTACTGCTCATAGTCATCATATCAAGGTACTAGTCACACAAGTTTCTAACTCCGTTTATATAATTCCATTATTTCAATTCATCGTTTGATTTGATTGGTAGTAGTATTTTCCATATTTCCAGCATGAGTGATGGGTTATTCTTAATGCATGTGTTGGGTGTGGACTCGATGAACCAGGATTGAGTAATCAACCTCTATCTCTCTCCACCTACTTGTAATACTTCTTAAAATTTTAATCCTCTACAACTCTATTGAGTGGTTGTGCGTTAATGCTTGCAGTGCCAACGCATTCTAATAGATATTTAGACTTTAATTCATCTCATCTGTTATCTGTAAAGGCAGGCGGCTTAATTAAGTGTCTAACAAACGGAGTCCTAGCACTAAGTAGTACAACAAAAAACCTAAACGATGAAATGAAACAGATAGAAGAGGCGTTGGTGTTAAACAACTAACTATCCTATAAAATTCATTACAAAGATCAGAAAAGGTCAAAATAAAAATAAAAATAATGATGGAACTAATGATGAAAACATAAATAAGAGAGATTATAAGGCATCTACAGTTCTATCATATAAGGAGTGGACATCTGAAACCCTTCCTACGTAGGATTCTTAACACAAAACAGGAATTAGGGTGGCATTCAGACTTACAAATTCGCTCAGGTTGGACAAGCTCTGTAGGCTAAAGGACCTGGTGGACCCAATTAAACAAAACAATATAATTTACAAAATACTTTGCAATGACTGTGAGTTAAGTCAACTACACGGGTCAGTCAAACCAGTAGGTCAGGAGTAGTGAGATTATTAGAACATAAGAATTTAGCTAAGGTCAGAACAATTGATCCCACGAAGATAAGTAATTTTGAAAAAAACTCGGCAATCGCACTGCATTTCGACTCTCCCACCCACACAGTAGGGCAGGAGAGAGTCGAAGTTCTCAAGAGTAATCTAGGTAGGTGGAGAGAGATAGAGGTTGATTACTGAATCCTGGTTCATCGAGTCTACATCCAACACATGCATTAAGAATGATCCATCACCCAAATATGGAAAATATTACGACCAATCAAGTCAAGCGATGATAAATAATGGAATTATATAAACGAAGTTAGAAACTTGTGTGACTAGTACCTTGATATGATGACTATGAGCAGTAATGAATTGTGCTCGAAATGTGGTCATCAGTAAATATTACTGTATAACACCGTGTGAATTTATCAGAATAAATTTTGCCCACAATGGAATTATACTCTACCACAGTGCACAAGCTCTTTCTATTCTTATATGAACCGACCAACAACGTATGGCCGAAGGCAAATGGAGATAGATGGATTGAACACGATGAGAAAACCGCTGATTAACATCACGCCCTAGGCAGGCCAGAGTCCAACCCGAGTGAAAAACGACGAGTTCATTGTGGGTCCGAGGGCGACATCGAGAAGATCGTGTGAGCTAGAGGACATGGAAGCTTATGGGCAATCCTGGAGCCAGATGAAAAGGATCTAGAGGTGTGCTGTTGAAGTTCTTCGGTTCCACTCGGTACAGGAGGGAATAATAATACTACTACTAATAATAGTAATAATATCAAATAAAACCTTTTCGGCCATTGTTGTGTGATGAATACCATGCTCTTCTTATGCCACAAACTATATGGGCTGTACTCAGCGTCTGGTTTGCAAAATTGGTAGCTCAGGCGCGCAAACATACGAGATGGCAAGAAAAGAGAAGAATATGGATGTACTTTATTTTACAGCATTGAATGCATTCTCGTCATATGATTCATCTCAAAGAGGCAAAACACTTAAAACTACGCAAACAACTTTGACGCTACACTGTCGTCTGGTAGATACAAAAAAAAATAACTGTGTTGCTTTGATGCAACTTTTTAACACGTGACGTCATTATGCTTGATTGTTGGTAGCTTTCTATTAATTGTATGCTGTGAATGTGATTAGGCTCTTTACACACACACACACACACACACATTCACACACACGTGTAACGCGTTGTTTTGTATGCCCTCTATGCAAAACTGTATATTCGCTTGTCTGCCTATCTATTCTGATGTTTTTACCATGGTTATTTTGGTCCAAAGGAATGTTTATTAATACTATTCAAGTAAGTAAACAAGTATTAGAAGTGTGCACAAAATAGTGGTATTATATTTTGATGTATTTAATAAAGTGTAGAGATCAGTTTTGTTTTTGAAAAAACTGAATGAAACACGGGGCTTCATCTGCTACACATTGTCATTTCGTTCAGTTTTTGGCAGTCCTTCTATTTCTACCTGGACACGATCTCCTTCATGTCACCGTCTATTATTATTATATTTATTATTGTATCCTTTAATTCCTAGAGGAACATAGGGCTTCAGCTGTGCGTCTCCATTGCGTTCGGTTCTCTGCTAGAGTCTTCACCTTGCTCCAAGTCTGCCCACATGCTTTCATCTCCTCTTCAAATGACCTCCTCCAAGTCACCCTTGGACGACCAACTCGCCTCTTC